AAGCCTCCTTCGCCTTCAATCCTGAACCGCTGAGACTGAGGCCATGTCCAGTACAGACCGTCCTCTGGCAGCTGGGCGACATGGGTATTGCCAAAAATGGGGGTACACCCTTTATACCCCCCAAATAGAAGAGAATCCCCTTAGAAAGGGACCCCCCAAACCATATTTTTCGGAAACCCCCAAATCAGGGACTTTGGGAGGGTTTAGGGTACCGGAAGGTTGTCGGGTTTAGGGTTTAGGGCCTGGCCGGTTCAGAATGCGTTTCCCCCCTCCCATGGACAAAACAACCAGCCCTAAAACCCTAAACCCTAAACCCCGAACCCTAAACCCTAAAACCTAAACCTGATTTGGGCTTTTTGGGGCTGCAACCGCTTCAAGGAGATCAAATCCGACTGCTGGTCTGCCGGCTGCATCTTGTTCGTGATTCTCACCGGCCGGCCGGCCTTCAACTACAGCGATGCTGGTCTGCGTCAGTCATGGCTTATGGGGGGTGAGGCGTTGAGGGGGGTTTAGGGTTTAGGGTTTAGGTGAGGCTGGAACAGTTTGGCAGGGTGGAGGGTAGTTTGTGACCTGGCGACGTGGCAAAATCCTCGGCATCTGCGGCACATTCTGCGCTGTCAGGTACTTGCGCGGCAGTCCTTTTCTGTGGTGTTTGGCTGGCCTTCATGCCAAGCGCATCTTTTGTGCACATCGCGTTGTTTTGCATTGCTTTGCTGTTGTTGCTTTAGCTTGGGGAGGGTCTCGAGGCTCGGCAGGTTACAACACAATGTATTCAGGCTCCTGCTGCTTCAGCCGTGTGCTTGCTAGGGCAGCTGGGTAGACATGTGCGGTTCGTTTGCTTTCAAGGCCCGCCTCTCCAACTTGTGGGGGCTTGATAAAATCTTACTTGCCCTTATCAGGGCTGTACGGTAAGGACACCTTTTCGCTCTACGGCCCCGCTGGCCGCGGCAGCTTCAACAATAAGTGTTACGCTTTGGGCCGCCGTTCCATACATCTTTGACACGAGACCTTCGACAATTTGCCAGCTTTTTCAGACGTATCACTCTGTAATGGGGCATGTGTCAGGGTTTGAGTTTCGTTAGGGTCGCACAACTCCTGCCTAGGGCCATGTCGAAAGCTGCCCTAAACCCTAAACCTAAACCCTAAATCTAAATCCTAAACCCTAAACCCTAAACCCTGAACCCACGCCCAGGAGTTCCCGGTGCAGGCGGAAAGGGGCAAGTACGTGGTGCCCAACTACGTCCCGAAGGACGTGGCCGAGTTCCTGGCCACACTGCTGCAGGCGGACACGATGCCTTGAATTATGGTTTAGGGTTTAGGGTTTTAGGGTTTAGGGTTTAGGGTTTAGGGTTTAGGGTTTAGGGTTTAGGGTTTAGGGTTTGTGCGGGATGTTGGGGTTAATGCTTACGGGCTGGCTCTATGGGGGCATGCAAGCAAGGGACGGGAATGCACAGGCCACTGGAGGCACGCAGCGCGGCCTCGGGTAGAGGTTTAGGGTTTGGGGTTGAGGGTTTAGGGTTTAGGGTTTGGGGTTTAGGGTTTGGGGTTTGGGGTTTATTCTCGAATCAGCAGCTGCTGGCCACACTGGTCGTGGCACATCTTCTCTACAAGCACCCCAGCAGAATCTCCCAAAACCCCTCCTAACCCCTGAGCCCCAAACTCTAAACATCTCTAAACTCTCAGCTGGACATGGGGGCTTACGAAACTAGGGGGCCCTCAATTTCGATCCCGAAATCGTAGGACCTCCCTTTCATAAGGACCCCAATAAGGTAGCCCTAACTTCGGCTTTCCCCCCTGCAGGTGGATTACAACATTCGCGTGGCCTGCCTTGGCTTACCTCATGATTTGCTCAAGGTTCAAGGTTTTTGGGGCATCGAGGGCATCGAGCTATTTATAGGCGGTTAAAATGAGAATCGGGCTAGCTGACACTAGATCTAAACACCTCGCCTCCGGTATGAAGGCCCAATCTCTGTGGGTCATGCCAGCTACTTCAGCCCTATACTGAAACCCCTAACTTAGGCTTCTCGAACTGAAATGAATTCAGATTCAAATCCTGGTTTGGGTCAGAGTACGGCCATTTGCATCAGGTTGTAGAATCCTAGGGTTTAGGGTTTAGGATTTAGGGTTGAGGGTTTAGGGTGCACCCTCTTCCCCTCCCCCCCACCCTCACTCCTGAACATGGGAGCCCCCCGGAGGAGACAGGCCCCTTTTTTAAAGGTGGCCCACACGAAATATTCTTCCGAAACTTGTCTTCATAGCGGAGCCCACTGGACCCCCACCCCCCCCTGATCTTGAATAGCCCGGGAAACTTCTCTTCAGAGGGGTGGGAGCCCAGACTGACAAGCACCGAGGCAGATGCCGCCTCTGCCCACGAAGCGGCACAGGCACTGTCTGGAACCTGGGATGGAATTGAAAGAGTATTTCTTCAAAAAAGGAGGGGTTTAGGGTTTAGGGTTTAGGGTTTAGGGTTTAGGGTTTAGGGAGGGAGGGAGAGAGAGAGAGAGAGAGATTGATTGAGAAGCGAGCAAAAGCAAGCGAAAGAGATAGCAAGAAAGCAACCAGTTCACAGAAGCCAACGCAACCATCAAGACCAAAAAATGGCGGGTTGCTTGGATCCCTGCCCTAAATCCAAAGCCTTACCTAAACCCTAAACCCTAAACCCTAAACCCGCAACCCTCAACCCTCAACCCTCAACCCTCAACCCTAAACCCTAAACCCTAAACCCTAAACCCTAACCCCCAAACCCCCAAAGCCCTAAACCCTAGACCCGAAACCCTCGCCGAGGGCGCTACCCACGGGGCGATGGGGATGCCTCGGAGAGTACCAGTCCCGTGAGCCCTCAGAGCTTGGGTGGCGTGGACTTGGTCTGAGGAGGAAGGAGGAGGGTTTAGGGTTTAGGGTTTGGGGTTTAGGGTTTGGGGTTTAGGGTTTAGGGTTTGGGGTTTAGGGTTTAGGGTTTAGGGTTTAGGGTTTGGGGTTTAGGGTTTAGGGTTTAGGGTGCGATGTGCAGAACAGGAGAAGCTGCCGTCATGTTGGGAAGGAGCTCTAATGCCCCAAAGCGTTGGCGGCATGTCGGAGGCGAAGCCCTGAGCCCCCCCCACACCCCGAAACTTCGGGATACTTGGAAATAATTTTATAATTTTAAACTCTTGGGTACTTTAATTCCTCAGAACCGGCAAAAATGATAACTTTTTGCTAGGGTTCCAAGTTCAGTATAGGACACCCGAAGAGCATCAAAAAGCACCTCTCGTGAGGATGCGGCCCATGGAAAATCGGGATTCAAGCCCTCTGGGGTTTTTAAACCTCCGCACGCCCCAAGATGGCCTACGGGCCTACAACCCGTAACAGTCCTGAAGAATGATATTCTGGCTGCCGCTTGGGGTAACATTCCTAAGCCCTAAACCCTAAACCCTAAACCCGAAACCCGAAACCCTAAACCCGAAACCCGAAACCCTAAACCCTAAACCCTAAACCCCAAACCCTAAACCCGAAACCCGAAACCCGAAACCCTAAGCCCTAAACCCTAAACCCTAAACCCTAAACCCTAAACCCTAAGCCCTAAACCCTAAACCCTAACCCTAAACCCTCAACCCTAAAAGGAAGACATCCTAACCACCACAAGATGCATTCAACAGGCAGCCCAAATTGCCTAGGCCTTAACACCCCCCAAAGCCACCTTAGCCCCCTAAATCCTAAACCCAGAAAAAGACCCTCAACCGTAAACCCTAAACCCTAAACCCTAAACCCTAAACCCTAAACCCTAAACCCTAAACCCTAAACCCTAAACCCTAAACCCTAAACCCTAAACCCTAAACCCTAAACCCCTAAGCCCTAAGCCCTAAGCCCCTAAACCCTAAACCCTAAACCCTAAACCCTATACCCTAAACCCTAAACCCTAAACCCTAAACCCTCCTTAAATCTCGGGAAGCCTAAATCAATCCGAGACCCGAAGCCTCAAACCCATCCTCCTAGCCCAGCGGCTCCTAAGATGGGAGCTGCTTTGTGCATAGAGCCGTTTCAAGCTTCACCCTCCAACTCACACGATTCAAACCCTAAACCCTAAACCCTAGACCCTAAACCCTAAACCCTAAACCCTAAACCCTAAACCCTAAACCCTAAACCCTGATTTTGGGTCTGAATTTCAATAAGCAGGGCAAGTTTTCGTGGAGTTGGATGCTGAGCCGGGCGAACTTGCAAGGAGGCCGAGCCCCACGCGGTGAAATGAGTGTCGATGGGCTTGGGGTTTAGGGTTTAGGGTTTAGGGTTTAGGGTTTAGGGTTTAGGGTTTAGGGTTTAGGGTTTAGGGTTTAGGGTTTAGGGTTTAGGGTTTAGGGTGTAGAGTGGGCTGGCCTACAAATACGTCGAACCTCTAGCTAGCCATCCAAAAGTAAGCAGACTGCGACATCTCGGGCCCTTTTCTGGCCGGTTCTTAGTAGGGAATGAGGGAATGAGGCACCCTCTGTCTCCCTATATATACCCTTTTAAGGGATCATATAGGGTACCTCATTCCCCCATTCCCTACTAAGAAGCAGGGGCTTTTCTGGTCCCGCCAGGAATGACCTTACATAAGGGGCCAACGCCTGAGATTCGCCAACCTTAAGCCCGAAGTTGCCAAGCGGCCTTTAGGGTTTAGGGTTTAGGGTTTAGGGTTTAGGGTTTTGGTTTAGGGTTTAGGGTTTAGGGTTTAGGGTTTTAGGGTTTTAGGGTTTAGGGTGTAGGGTTTAGGGTTTAGGGTTTAGGGTTTAGGTACGCAGCTCACAGGGATCGGTCGAATTCCGTCACTCAGGATGCTCAAGCTCCCATCCCCCTTCATGGTGCCCCCCACTAGGCTCTGTAAACCCTAAACCCTAAACCCTAAACCCGAAACCCGAATCCCGAATCCCTAAACCCTAAACCCTAAACCCTAAACCCTAAACCCTAAACCCTAAACCCTAAACCCTAAACCCTAAACCCTAAACCCTAAACCCTAAACCCCACACCCTGAACCCTGCTGCTCTGAGGCTTTGGCACCTGCCAGCCATCGTGCACCACGTGGCCATGCACCCGCCGGCCGTGCCACGTGCAGATCGGGAGGCCCACCCGCTACCTATGGGGTTTAGGGTTTATGGTTGAAGGTTTAGGGTTTAATAGTAGGATTCCCTTTTCATAAGGGCCCCAACAAGGTACCCCTAATTTCGGAAACGCCCGTATAGGGCTTAGGAGTTCGGGGTTAGAGTTACAGCCTAGGGGGCTTTCTGGGGGGGCGCGAAGTTTTTTAAGGTGCTTGGTCGCCCGGAAATCTCGGCCGAAACTCTAAACGCTAAACCCCAAACCCTAAACCCTAAGCCCTAAACCCTAGACCCGGCTTAAACAGGCGAAAAACCAGCTCTCCGTATCGGCGGAAGTGCGTCAGACCGTCGCACGCCAGGCGCGGACAAGGGGGGTGGGTTATTGATTATTGGGGTCCTTATTATAAAGGAATCCTATCTATATTTGGATGTTCTTGAACCCCCACAAGTCTGGTGCGTTGAAAGTGAAGCAAGAGTGGTTTGTATGCTCAGTGTTTGAAGTTGGTGGCCCAAATGGTGGCAATTTGTCAAGTAGAGCCCCCAACTAGTACCCCGTACTACGATTGGGTCATTCTCAGGAACCCTAAACCCTAAAGCATAAAACCCTAAACCTTAAACCCAAAATCCTTAAGGGGATCTACTTTTTGGGATCCCAGGACTCGGGCTTGTCCGAGGTCCATCCAGGGGCCTGTTAATTTGAATGGGTTTAGGGTCAAGGGTTAGGGTCTAGGATTTAGGGTTTAGGGCTTAGGGCTTAGGGTTTAGGGTTTAGAGCCTATTTTTTTTCGGCGAGCTTTCCTTCTAGTCTGATTGGGGCTACAAGGAAGAGGACACTCTTAGTGTTTGGGTCGCCGTTCCTGCAGTGCCCAGCCTGGCAGCCTCATGTGGTTGGTGGCCGCCCAAGCCTTGGGTCGAGGGTTTCTAGGGTTTAGGGTGGAGGGTGGATAACCCTAAGCCCTAGACCCTAAACTTTTAAGCCCTAAACCCTAAACCCTAAACCTAAACCCTAAACCCTAAACCCTAAACCCTAAACCCTAAACCCTCAACCCTAAACCCTAAACAGCGAAGGTAGACGTTGCCACCGGCGGGCAGGAATTGGCAGCTGTCCCAGCTCTCCGAGGGGTTTTAGGTTTGGAGTTGCCAGGGTGCACTATAGGACCTGCTGTAGTGGAACCCCCTAAACCCTAAAACCTTAAAACCTTAAAACCCTAAAACCCTAAAGCCCAAAAACCCTAAAGCCCTAAAACCCTAAAACCCCAAACCCTGAACCCTAGCCAGAACCCAAGAACCCTAGAACCCTAAAACCCTAGATTCCCAGAACCCTAGAACCCTAAGAACCCTAAAAACCCTAAACCCTAAAACCCTGAACCCCAAAACCGGTTCATTGAAAGCCCGAAACAGGTGCTGATCCAGTCCATGCCCTGGTTCCCGCCCTGCTAAACTGGTCAACACCTTCAAGAGGGCCCCCCATGTAATGGGTTTAGGGTTTAGGGTTTAGGGGGTTTAGGGTTTAGGGTTAGGGTTTAGGGTTTAGGGTTTAGGGTTTAGGGTTTAGGGTTTAGGGTTTAGGGTTTAGGGTTTAGGGTTTAGGGTTTAGGGGTTTAGGGTTTAGGGTTTAGGGTTTGGGGTTTGGGGTTGCTTGGGAACTTCGGACGCCACCACAAGGGGCTCCTTGGGTCTGAGTTGTCGGAGGCGCCAGTACACGGCAGTACAATCCAGCAGGTGTTCCGTCAGCCAGCTTGTGCTTGCAACCCAGAATGGCGGCACTTGAGCCCCGAACCCTACAGCCCCAAAACCCCAAAGCTGCAGGGCCTTAGCGCCCTGAAGCCCCTAAACTGCCTTTGCATGTGGCAGCTGGCCGACAAACGCTGACGGGTTTATGAGAGCCAGGGTTCAAAACACTGCCCGAACCGGTTGAGGGTTTAGGGTTCAGGGTTCAGGGTTTAGGGTTCAGGGCCAACCCCTAAAGCCCACGGCGTCTAATACCCCAAAGCCCTCAAACCCCAACACTATAGCAGGTCCTAGGCCTACCGGCTCTGAGTAATGAGGGAATTAGGTACCTTCTATCCGCCTGTACCAGCCTTTGAAGGGGCTCTATATTGTACCTAGTTCCCTTAGTCCTTTCTAAGAAACAGCAAGTTTAAAAAAAAAAACACCACCGACCAAAGAGCCGCAAGGAACGAATGGCGATGGCACCTGACGGCCGGGGTCTGGGAGGGATCCTTGGGGGGTGGGGTGGGTGGGTGGGCTAAGCCTTCAACCGGGGGGGGGGGGGTTTCCATCTTTTTCTGTTTCTTGTTTGTTTTTATTTGATTTTATTTATTTATTTTTTATTTTTTGGGGGGTCGGTGGGGTCCTAGGGTGAGGAATGATAGTCCTTTGGGCCTTTGGGGTCCGACCCCGCCAAGTGGGCGTGCTTAGGGGTTTTTATGGTTCGTGGGTTTCGGGTTTCGGGTTTAGGGTTTAGGGTTCTAGGGTTTAGGGTTTAGGGTTTAGGGTTCTAGGGTTTAGGGTTTAGGGTTTCGGGAATACCTGCTAAAGGTTTCCCCCTTATGGTCCCTAGTAGAAGTTGACCACACGGCCCTCCAAGACCCTAAGCCTAAACCCTAAACCCATGTTCTAAATTCTTAAGGCCACCTAAATTAGGTGCTATCCGGCTGGCATGCAGCTTTTTCGGCTTTTGGGCTTGAGGTGCCTGCACCATCTCAAGCGTCAGATCTCAGGACGTGGGTTTAGGGGTTCACTTTTTCACTGTTTGTTAGCCCTGAGCCCTCCAGTCATTGGGGTCTGGCCCTAAACCCTAAACCCTGAACCCTAAACCCTCAAGCCTAAACCCTAAACCATAAACCCTAAACCCTAAACCCTAAACCCTAAACCCTAAACCCTAAACCCCAAGACACTCACCTTGTCCGTTCGTCGTTCTTTGGCCTCAGACACAGCCCGCCGCTGCTCAGTCAGAACCGCTCTCCGTCCGCTCGTTCGATTCATGTCTGAACCCAGGCACGGAACCCCCTAAACCCTAAGCCCTAAGCCCTAAGCCCTAAGCCCTAAGCCCTAAACCCTAAACCCTAAACCCTAAACCCTAAACCCTAAACCCTAATTAACCCTAAACCCCAAAAACGCAATGCCGCAAGACTCCGAACCCCCCCCTCACGCCTGAAACCCCAAACCCACGAACCGAGCCGGGTTTGGGTTTAGGGGTTAAGGGTATAGGGTTTAGGGTGCCCGACGCCCAACACCCCAAACTCAACTCAAAGCAACAAAATCTCTTGGTGTTGCGCCAGGCGACTTCCTAGTAGCCGCCTCGAAATCGCAGCTCATAGTATGGTCCCTGCGTGCGGAGGCTCTCAAGGGTTTAGAGTTTAGGGTTTAGGGGTTTAGGGGTTAGGGTTTAGGGTTTAGGGTTAAGTTATTTTTGGGCCGCTCTAGGGTGTGCAAGTCTTCAGTAAAGGTGCATAGCGTTTGGTTCGGGTCTATGGGTCAGCAAACAATCTCATGAGTAGAGACAAGTAGGGTCGGGGTATGTGATATGCGCAGAGACATAGGGTTATAATGGGTGATAGTTCCAATCACCCACATATGCCTGCCCATCAATCTCCGACACTTTAATTTCAGAGCTTAAGTTTGAGAGTTTCGGATTTAGGGGTTTAGGGTTTACGGTTTAGGGTTCCGGGTGGAAAGGGTTTGGAGAAAGGCTTTTCCCTAGCTTAGAAGTTTCATTCTGCAGGGGTTGGGAGTGTTTCCAGAAGTCAAGGTTTGGGCATTTAGGGTTTAGGTTTTGGGTTGGGATGTTCCCCCTTATACTAACAGTGTTTAATCGGGATTATAGTACCCCTTTATCATCCCTACTGAGGACTGTTAGTAAGTACACTGGGGAGCATCCCCAAGTTTAGGGCGTAGGGTTTAGGGTTTGGGGTTTAGGGTTTCGGGTTCAGGGTTTAGGGTTTAGGGATTAGGGATTATGGGGTTTAGGGTTTGTGGCTTGTGAGGGTCCGGGCTTGTGCTTTTTGAGGTGGTCTCCGTCTTCAGGTACCCTCTTGGCTTCAGGATGTATAGGGCTGAGAGTCGAGGGTCCTAATTTAGGGTTTAGGGTTTAGGGTTTAGGGTTTAGGGTTTAGGGTTTAGGGTTGAGGGTTGAGGGTTGAGGGTTGAGGGGTTTAGGGCTGATAAAGGGCTTAGGGTCTTTTAGGCGATGCTTCTTTAGAAATGATGCTTCTCTGCAAATAGAACTCTCCGCCCCGCTTCAAAAGTGAAGCCAAAGAGATAGAACCTCGAAGACCCTAAACGCTATTGTTTAAGAAAAAAAGGGCCTGATCTCAACCGCACGACCCCAAACCCTAAACCCTAAACCCTAAACCCTAAACCCTAAACCCTAAACCCTAAACCCTAAACCCTAAACCCTAAACCCTAAACCCTAAACCCTAAACCCTAAACCCTCAACCCTCAAACCTCAACCCTCAACCCTAAACCCTAAACCCTAAATCCTTGGAATGGCAGGCGTGGCCGGCTGCTGTGGAGCACCTTCGCACGGTCCAGCTGGAGCAGGTGGGGGGCCGCGGGCGCAGGGCTCCAAGTCTTAGGCCCGCTTGGGGATATTAGGGCCTATAGGGGGCCCTTGCCCCGAAACCCTAAACCCGAAACCCTAAACCCTAAACCCGAAACCCGAAACCCTAAACCCTAAACCCTAAACCCTAAACCCTAAACCCTAAACCCTAAACCCTAAACCCTAAACCCTAAACCCTAAACCCTAAACCCAACACCCTTGGAGTCCTAGCGCGACCAGGCCTTCGAAAGCGACAGCCGGGCCGCGGCCTTGAGATACCGGGGGGTTTAGGGTTTAGGGTTTAGGGTTTAGGGTCTAGGGTTTAGGGTTCTCAGGGTTTGTTTGGTGTTTAGGGGAGTTTGGGTGTTGGGGTTAGGGTTCAGGGTTTAGGGTTTGGGGTTTGGGGTGTAGGGTTTAGGGTTTTGAGTTCAGGGTACAGGGTGTTCAGGGTGTTTGGGGTGTTTAGCAGCTCTTGGCTTCAGCCTTCTTGTTTTTGTGTTTTGCTTATTCGGCATGTTTTGCCAGGCCTTTAGGGTTGTAGGGGTGTAGGGCTGTTGTCAAGGATGTCTTTGGGGTGTGTCAGAAGGTTTTGGTGGTGTCTTTTCGGGCCATGGCTTTAGGGCTTTGGGGCTATTCGGTGTTGTTTGTTTTTTACCCGGGGAGGTGTTGGGTTTAGAGGTTGGCTGCTTTCAGCGTCTCAGAGCTGTGCACACGACGGCGTCTACGGTTGGGATGTTATAGAAACAGTCCTTAAGAGGAATTCGGATGGGTGTACTAGAATCCCTGTTGAGGACGGTTAGTATAAAGGGAAACATCCCAAGCTTAGGGAGTTAGGGCTTAGGTTCTACAGGGTTTAGGATTCAAACTTCAGGGTCCCGGGCGTGAGGGTGTTGCAAGGGGCCCCCAAGTCACCGAGCTGCACGCCCTAGACCTTGAGCCCTACGTCCCTAACCCTGACTGCCAAACCCGCCTTGTTGTTTCGGGTTTAGGGTTTAGGGTTTAGGGTTTAGGGTTTAGGGTTTAGGATTTGGGGTTTGGGGTTTGGGGTTTAGGGTTTGGGGTATTTAGGGTTTAGGGTTTAGGGTTTAGGGTTTAGGGTTTAGGGTGTAAGCCTCCAACCCACTTTTCAGAGCCCCCGACTCCACCAGACCTCCGAGGTGGTTGCCCTGCGCGTGGCCGTCGCGGCTCCTTCGGTTCTCGTCGTGTTGGTGGCCGCCGAGCTCGAGGCAATCAGCCCCTGATGTTTGTCTAGGGCCTTGACAATTCGAATGAGGTTTTGGGGGTCAGTATAGTATAAGTATATAGTTTGGGATCGGAAGGGAATAGCCATGAGCAATTATTCCGACCCCTTTTTTTCTATTTTTGTTGAGGTTTGGGAGTTGTAGGATGACTTTTGGGGCTCGGGGTTTTGGGGGGTTTCGGTTTTGTTTTGGGTGGTTTTACGGTTTACCTGCTGGTCCTGAGTCGGGTGCTAGGGAACCGAGTTCCCTTAGCAATCCGGCTGTAGGGGCGATGCCGTCTTGGCGAGCAAGTGTCCATGCCTTCCGACCTAAACACGAAACTTGGGATGTCCTTCTTATACTAACAGTCCTGAGTCGGGATTATAAAGGATGGTACTAGAATCCCTTTTAAGGACTGTTAGTACAAGGGGGAACATCCACCCGAAGCCCGAAACCCTAAACCCTAAACCGCAAAAGGTGGCCCTTGTCACGCTCAACCTGCGCGCGGCGCAGGTCCACGAATTGCCAGGAGCCGCAGTCGATACCCGAACCCGAGGCTTAGCCTAAACCCTAAACCCTAGAAGCTAAACCCTGAACCCTGAACCCTAAACCCTAAACCCCAAATTCTCAGCAGACCACGAACCACATGCTTCGCCTGGATTGTCCGAGTGTGAGCTCCGAAACCCTAGAAGACTTGCGGCGACAGTGGCACCAGCTGAACGAGGAGAGGGCCCAACAGGGCCCAAAGCCTAAGAGCTTCAGGGATTTCAAGACATCCCCAGTGAGAGATGTTAGAAAGACTCGCCTGCGTCTTGTCCTGGATTTGTGTTTGGAGAACCTGTTTCCTTTTTATGATTGGCTCAAGCAGTAGGCTTGCGGTCAACGAGTTAATAGCGCTTTCAAGCGTGAGCCGATTCAGAAACGTCGAGCACGGCTTACCCTAAACCCTGAACGTGATCTTGACAGCCCTACAATCCCTGGGCCGCCAAAACCCTGAACCCTGCGAGCCTTATAAACAAACCTATTATGAACCTTGGGGTTTGGGGTTTGGGGTTTGGGGTTTGGGGTTTTAGTATACTGGGATGTTCACCGTTATACTAATTTCTAACTGTCCTTAATAGGGACCCCGATTATAATCCTATTAAGGACTCTTTTCAGGCGGAACATCCTCATGTATACGCTATCACCCTATAAACCGCTGTAAAAGCCCTAATGATAAACAACTTGTATACCCACAAACCCTAGAAACCTCATATACTCCATAAAACCTTAGACGCCCTATAAACCCTATAATCCTATTGAACCTTAGAAAGCCTATACATCCACCCTATAAAACCCCATAAGAGCCTTCTTAAACAACCTTTTTAAATCCTACACAAGTCACCCCCACATAAACCCTACAAATCTACAAGCCCTGTAAATCCTATAAGCCCTATAACTTGCGCAGCACATTTTGAAGCCCTAAGCCCCATACCCTGAAGCCATCATCCTTTTGGGGTGTTGGGTGCTTTGTTAACTGTGGAGCCCAGCCTTGGGTCCTCAAACCCCAAGCCCTAATTGGTTTAGGGTTTAGGGTTTAGGGTTTGGGCTTTAGGGTTTGGGGTATGTAGGGTTTAGGGTTTAGGGTTTAGGGTTTAGGGTTCAGGGTTCTGCAACATCCCTAAGCCCCAAGCTTGGACGCGCAAGCCCCGAGGCCGCGACGGCAGCAGATGCTCCGGTTTCCCGGCCCC